AGAAGGGATACTTTGGATGCCTCCTCCCATACGCCACCTTTCTCCAACAGTCTAAACATAAATTGTGTCCGATCTCCCCCTCATGAATTTTAAAGCGCTTCCTCTCTTCGCAACAATTTGGGCAATTTTTTTTGGAGCGTCGTGCGTTCTCATCGTAGATGATTTCAGCTCAGTTTGGCCTCGTAATGAAGAAATTTTGAATCCCAAATTTACCTTTGAATTTGTAACTACATCCAAAGCTCTATATATCTCATAGTTGATATTGAACCTGACTGTGCAGGCGCTCCCGATGACGACCTGAGTCCAAATTACTCAAAACATTTGAGTCCAGCTTAGAGCTGAAAATTTGCAAATGTTTTTTTTTTTCAAGTAACAACTCCGACAAAAAAAACTGTCTGAAAAAAACTGAGGTAAAATTTCTTTATGCTTCGGCGCGACTAAGCTATTAATTTTATGTGACTAAGTTATTCTTTATGCTTCGGCGCGACTAAGCTATTAACATTATGCGACTAAGCTATTCTTTATGCTTCGGCGCGACTAAGCAATTAACATAAAATTCAAGGCGACTAATTTAAAACGGACTCGACCGGCTAAGAGTTAAGACTATGAGACAAAATTTTTGGTTCGCATAAGTTGAATTTTTTGCGCGTCAAAGTTAAAACCACAGCTGAGCCTTGAAACCATTAAATTGTAGTGCGACTAAGTTAAAATCCTGAGCCCTGGTGACTAAGTTAATAAATTAGCGCGAGGAATTAAAGACTGCAGCGTGAGGAAGAAAAAAACTGCAACACGACTCATTTAAGATCTAAAAGCTACTAACTAAATTAAAAGGTTCGCAACAAATTTAGAACGCGTTCAGAAAGAGCGGACACTGAAACATCTTTTTGCAAAAATTTCTAAGACATGTTAAGTGTGGAACTCAACCCAGTATGGTATTTTCAAAGCGCTCGATTGACAATTTTAATTCAAACGTAGTTGATGCAATTACTTTTGTTGGAAAATGGTATTTTCTGCTCATTTGTCAATTTTGCTATTTGAACTTAAAAAAACGAGACCATATTGAGTGATACGATAAAGCTAAAAATGGCAGTGATACAATAAAGCTAAATGTTTTTACAACTGTTTTCTTTTTGTTATTACCAATTGAAAAGCAGTTGAAACGATGAATTTTCTGTTTAAAGATTGGCATCAACGAGAATTCCTTTTTCGGAATCTAAACTATAGTTTTCTAGCTTCAATCCATCATCAATGATTTTTGCTTTCCAAGCATAAAAATGCAGAAAAACGTCGCCATTGCATATGCAAGCTAATTTCAAAAATTTGTTCAGGTAGTTTTTTCGAGATATCGTTATTTTATGTCACTTTCTAGGTCGTTATTCTACGCCACTCGCTCAAGTTTATATCAAAATTGTTATCATTTGGCTTTGAGAGTTGGTGCTTTCCATATAATTCTATTTATGCGTATAATTTTCATAATTTTCAAAATAAAATTTTGATAATTCACAATATAAATTTTCAACTCCTTCCGCGAACAAAATTGAATTCGAAATGAATTGTGAAAATGGATCTGTATGACATTCCTCCCGCTTGTTTAAATGCTTGCGCGTCAAAGTTAAAACCACAGCTGAGCCTTGAAACCATTAAATTGTAGTGCGACTAAGTTAAAATCCTGAGCCCTGGTGACTAAGTTAATAAATTAGCGCGAGGAATTAAAGACTGCAGCGTGAGGAAGAAAAAAACTGCAACACGACTCATTTAAGATCTAAAAGCTACTAACTAAATTAAAAGGTTCGCAACAAATTTAGAACGCGTTCAGAAAGAGCGGACACTGAAACATCTTTTTGCAAAAATTTCTAAGACATGTTAAGTGTGGAACTCAACCCAGTATGGTATTTTCAAAGCGCTCGATTGACAATTTTAATTCAAACGTAGTTGATGCAATTACTTTTGTTGGAAAATGGTATTTTCTGCTCATTTGTCAATTTTGCTATTTGAACTTAAAAAAACGAGACCATATTGAGTGATACGATAAAGCTAAAAATGGCAGTGATACAATAAAGCTAAATGTTTTTACAACTGTTTTCTTTTTGTTATTACCAATTGAAAAGCAGTTGAAACGATGAATTTTCTGTTTAAAGATTGGCATCAACGAGAATTCCTTTTTCGGAATCTAAACTATAGTTTTCTAGCTTCAATCCATCATCAATGATTTTTGCTTTCCAAGCATAAAAATGCAGAAAAACGTCGCCATTGCATATGCAAGCTAATTTCAAAAATTTGTTCAGGTAGTTTTTTCGAGATATCGTTATTTTATGTCACTTTCTAGGTCGTTATTCTACGCCACTCGCTCAAGTTTATATCAAAATTGTTATCATTTGGCCTTCGAGAGTTGGTGCTTTCCATATAATTCTATTTATGCGTATAATTTTCATAATTTTCAACATAAAATTTTGATAATTCACAATATAAATTTTCAACTCCTTCCGCGAACAAAATTGAATTCGAAATGAATTGTGAAAATGGATCTGTATGACATTCCTCCCGCTTGTTTAAATGCTTAAAGATGTTCAAATAACAAAAGCTACAATTTTCGCAAATTTGTTCTAAATTTTTTGTTACACTTTTTGTCACAAGAGCGATCGAAAAGTTTCAAATTCAAGAAATAGCGGAAACTACAGTTCAAATACCGTTAAAATTAAGCGTTGAAATTAAAGTAGTGAGTTGTGGTCCGAAACAACATCAGACAAGTTATTCTCGACAGAAAAATTTTACGATTTTTTTGAATCCGAATTACGATCAATGAAGTTTTAATATGATATCACACTTGGCCAACTACGAGTTTTCCTTGAATTCCGAATTGGTGGAAAAAGAATTTAAAAACGTACCCTACGCCATATTTCCATTCCACTCTTCGAGAGCCAGAACAATTAAAAAAAACTGACAAAAACAAAGAAAAAACTCAGCCACTCGCATTTTTTAAGTATATCTTTCAAGTTTATATCAAATTTGTTATCATTTGGCCTTCGAGAGTTGGTGCTTTCGATATAATTCTATTTATGCGTATAATTTTCATAATTTTCAAAATAAAATTTTAATAATTCACAATATAAATTTTCAACTCCTTCCGCGAACAAAATTGAATTCGAAATGAATTGGGAAAATGGATCAGTATGACATTCCTCCCGCTTGTTTAAATGCTTAAAGATTTTCAAATAACAAAAGCTACAATTTTCGCAAATTTGTTGTCTAAATTTTTTGTTACACTTTTTGTCACAAGGGCGATCGAAAAAGTTTCAAATTCAAGAAATAGCGGAAACTACAGTTCAAATACCGTTAAAATTAAGCGTTGAAATTAAAGTAGTGAGGTCTGATCCGAAACAAAATCAGACAAGTTATTCTCGACAGAAAAATTTTACGATTTTTTAGAATCCGAATTACGATCAATGAAGTTTTAATATGATATCACACTTGGCCAACTACGAGTTTTGCTTGAATTCCGAATTGGTGGAAAAAGAATTTAAAAAGGTACCCTACGCCATATTTCCATTCCACTCTTCGAGAGCCAGAACAATTTAAAAAAAAACTGACAAAAACAAAAATAATCGTAACAAATTTTTCTCGAGGAATTTCTAAACCAGTGACTGGAACTTCACTCTTAGCAAACAGGTCGAATGCGACCACTGAAGCCTAATGCAATGAACTTTCTATTATACTTTAAATATCAGGCAGCCGAGAATGCGCCGTAATTAATCGGTTAAATATAGAAAATTAGCTGTAATATAGTAGAAAATAGCTGTAATTAATCTGTTCTTTAAATATAATAGAAAACTTGTGCAAATAGAATTGAAATATGCGACTTTGGATGGAAAAACTAGATTCGTATCATAACACAAACTCTTGTGTAAAACCGAGAGACTGGCATTGCCTTTCAACGACAAAGGAAAAGATTCAGAACTGAAGTAGTGAAAAAACTGAAAACTACTCATACTATCTGCTAGAACGCGATAAGTCAAACCGTTTCGGATGCTCTCTTCTGAGGCGACGCTTCATAATTCAGTTAAATACTGTTTGAAAAGATGCTTTGGAAGTTACACAAATTAGGGTTCTTGGTTTAGGATTCAAACGCCTGTCGTCTGCGGGTTATGCATAGGCTTCAGCAAAGCTACCCAATAATGAAAACATCAAAAATAATCTTTGATCCAAAAATACTGGAAAGCAGGGTCGGATTTATGGAGGCGGGACGCTCCCCACCACCACCTCCCCTTCAGGGATTCGACCCCATGCCGAACCAAAGGGTCTCCCATTTGAACTATTTTGAGATATCCATTTTTGGCTGACTGACCCTAAAATTTTTTCTCTAGGCGCCTTTGGCGCCAATATATCCTAATTTAGAGGGAGCGCGCGCCGGAAAATGCATTTTTTGGTCAAAATTGTCCAAATGCTTAAAAACGACCTTTTTCAAACACTTTCCAGCGTCGCAGAAAATTTTGTCAAATTAGGCTCTTTAAAGTGATTTGGGAGAGCTCAGAAAATCAATTTGGCTGACTTAAGAAAAAGTCGACAAAATTTTCAATATTTTTTTGAATATCCCCCCGCAAGAAAATCGTAGATACGCCCCTGCTGGAAAGCATTTACAAATAAGTCAATCTGCGCAACCACAATACGCGTTATGACTTTAATATTCAGTTCGAGAAGCACTGAAATTTAAAGAATCCTGAGCTAACGAATTCACCGACGTTTAAGAAAACATGCACTCAGTCAATTAAATTTCGACATGCAGTTTATATAATTGCATCTACAGCATACTTTGGCCATATAAATTTATATAAAATAAAGCAGGAAATTTTAAATTTGGGGAAATATTTGCAATGTTGAAAATCCGACATTTTCCGCAGAAGTTTCATAAATAAATTTTTTAAAGTCGAACAAAAAAAATGAGATCATCTGAAATTAATGATGATAAACCCATATGTAAATTTAGACTATTTTCAAATCGACCATTGAACAAACTTCAACTAATTCTGTTACGGAAAACATCGTAATTTCAAATTTGGCTTAGAAGAAATAGAAATGTTAAGTGTTTTTAAGACACTTTTCAATTGAGTTCAAATTCTAGAGATCTCCCTCAAATAACTTGGCTTGTAGCACTGTATGACATGTAGACAGAAGCGCCAGCTAAATTTATGAGAGATGTTATGAGAAACACTGTCTTCCATTGGCCAGTGTACTCTACTATTGTGGCTGTCACTGGACCAGCTGTAATTCCCGGAATCGAGGCCTGGAAAAAAAACATATTTAGTTTGAATATTGGCTAGTTTGGAAAAAAAACGTGGCTAGTTTGAGAGTACCGAAAATTCAGATGTTCTCAGCTTGAAATTACGTTTCATTGTGTGGTTTTAGTCAATCGAAATTAGTTTTTGATCTCAGAAAATCAAGCAAGGAGATCTAAAAAATGATATCTCCAATCTCGATGAACTCAAACAGATCGGCAAAAAACGACAACATTTTTTTTGAAACAGCCAACAGACAGTTGGAAAGAGTCAATGATCTCACGGAAAACGAAAAAAAATGATTCACTTGTTTTAATTTTTCGGAAACAAAAAATCTTACGTTGAAGTTCTTTCAATTTCAAGCATCTTTTATGATTGAATTTTTAATAAAACAAACCCAATTTGAGAAAACTGGATCAAATGGTAACTTTCGTATTCCGCTGCAAATTAAATTAACTGAGGCTCTTTCCGTTTTCACCCATATTTGGATTTGAATTTTTACACTTCGCATCATTTTGGTTCAACGAAAATATAGTATTGCAAGCTACCAAATAGAAAGTGAGATGGCAATCACTAAAAAGAAAAAAATGAACTTGAACAAAAAATCAATTTCAGAAAAACAGACGAGAGACACAACCACTAACATACAAGCTTTTAGTATTTGCCTATCGTTTACTAAGCCGAAAACACATTGATCAGGATACAATAAAAGCCAAAGTAAATTGTTGTCATAAAAAAATTCAGCGATTGAATTGTTTGAATTTTTAACGTTTACACTACTACCAAACTGATTTGCTTAAAGCAAAAATAATCATTTTTCTCTTAAGCCAATGTAAAATAAGTTCAATAAACAGAAAAAAGATAAACCGAAATCAATTAGGCTGAAAAAAGTTTCTTAGCGAAAAAAATACTTGAAAATAACAGAAAGCACAACAGTCAGGGTACAAAAGCTACAGAAGTCAATCGAGATTACAATAAAAACTGCTCACAGTACAACGAAAATCCATGATATGGCAACTAAGCCGACATAACATAAGCCGACAAACTGTAGTCCGACTAATCAATTTTTCCCAAAAAAAAATCAATTTCAGACACTAAAAAACCACGGTCCGGCCGGAACTCGAACCTCAGAACATAGGGTGCAAGGCAACCGCATTTCCTCCGGGACAAGAAGGATGGGGCTTGAAGGTTGCTCAGGTTCGATAATATAGCAACATAAGTTTCTCACAAATCTGTAAGATAAGTAGTTTACGAGGAAAAAAGTCTAGTCCCCGATTACAAGACACTTGCTCTCGCAAGTGTGAAAATTTTTTAGCGTTATCACAATGCAAAATAAAGACCCCGTTGTACGGTAGCAATTTACCGGTTGGGACATAATTGCTGTTCATAATTTCTATCGTAACATTACCTATTTTGCCATAATAGTATAATAATCAACTGAAATGAAAACATTTGAAATGCGTTGGGAAAGTGCGAAAAAACTTAAACAATTTTAAACAAAGACAATAAAATTTTGCGCCGTATGCTCAATTGCTACTGGATAGCTTAACTTGCTTTCGTTTAAAAAAAAATTGAGTTTAACTTGAAAGTGCCACCGCGAAAACTCAAATTTGAGCGTGAACCTTTTTCTTGATTTCATCCTTCCAAAAAGCACGACCTAAACATCAAGCACCTTACAAACAAAGCCTCATACGTACAAGTGTGTTTGAAACTGCAAAAGTCAGCGACGCCTGGGTTGGCGCTACTTCAACGTGGTTGCTCAGATGGCCAGAAGAATTGCACGCACACAGTCCCATCGACACTGATATGAAACTGAAACAGCCAGAAGCATAATCCACGAACATTCTACACTTTCGTTATTCTTTCAGCTCTTTTACTTTCATTTCCTCTGTGAAAAACATAAATTTGGATCGATAGGTACGTTCTCAGAGAACTAAAGTCCACTTTCGAAAATCGCTCACATTTTTCGTGACCTTTACAAATTTGCTGTTCGATATGCCTTCCTTTTAACAAAAAACGAGCTGAGCTTGAAAAAAATGAACTTCCAACCTGGAAAAATCATATTTGAGCGTGAACACTTTCCTGAAAAAAAAATCATCCCGATGTATAAAAGTTACAACCACTTCGTTCTTTTACACTTAATTCATGTTTTTAAAAGCAAAAAATCATTTGGTCTAACTAACAGAAATTTTAGCGCAAACACCAAAAACCACATACTTGCTACTCTATCAAAACTGCAAATTAAACGTTGCGTATCTACAAATAGTCAAAGCGGACGTCAAATTCACGAAGGGTTTTTAAAAGATATTGACGAACATCGACAAAACAGTAAATTAAGTCTATTTTTTTTACTAACCAGTAAATTAAGTCTACTAACCATTTCACAAAGTATAAATTAAAGAAATTGTACAAATTACTTAAAACATCAGGGAAATGCGTCTAAGAGAAAGGACAATACTTCAACCGAGACAAGGCCAATTAATAATTTTCTCCTGAAAATAAGACAATGAATGGAAATAACGAATAATGAGTATAACAATTTTACTGCCCTCAGAAAAGCGAGAAGATAATTATCATCACCATGGAATTGAGCCAACAAGTGCGTAAAAAGCAACACACTCGTCAACCCAACCCCACTACAAATTAGCCTGGCATTTTTCATCACAGAACAATTATTCGCGCGTACAGTTATGATGTATTGTATGAAAAACAAATCTGTTCAAAATAGTTAGTTTGTTCACCATGCCAAAATTGGTTGCATAGTGAAAAATTTAGAGTAAATTTCAAAACTTATATGAAAAATGGGGGAAATGGAAAAGAGCTCTCAAAGCACTTACAATGTTTTCAAAACAAAAGCAGCTTCAAAAATCAGAGAACAATCAATTTAACATTATTGCTGTCCTCAGAAAAAGCGAGAAGATAATTGTCATCACCATGAAATTGAGCCAACAAATGCGTAAAAAAGCAACACATTCGTCAACCCAACCCCACTACAAATTAGCATGGCATTTCTCATCACAGGACAAATAATTGCGTGTAGAGTTATGATGTAAGGTATGAAAAGCACAACCGTTCAAGTATAGTTTGTTCACAAAGCCAAGTTTCGTTGCATAGTGACCAATTTAGAATTGTTTTCAAAACTTGAATAAAAGTGCGGGAAATGGAAAAGAGCCCTCTTAGCACTGACAATGTTTTCAAAACAATAGCGGCTTGATAAAACAGAGAATAATGAACTTCACATTTTTGTTGTGTCCTCAGAAAAGAGAGAAGATATTTGTCATCAACATGAAATTGAGCCGACAAATGCGTTAAAAAAGCAACGCACTCGTCAACACAACCCCTTCTACAAAATAGCATGGCATTTTTTATCACAGAAAAATAAATTGCGCGTAGAGTTACAATGTAAGGTATGAAAAAAAATCCGTTCGAAACAGTTAGTTTGTTCACCATGCCAAAATTGGTTGCATAATGACACACTTAGAGTAGTTTTCAAAACTTAAATAAAGAAGGGGGAAATAGAAAAGAGCGCTCAGGGACACTAGCAATGTTTTCAAAACAATAGCGGCTTGATAAATCACAGATCAACGAACTTTTCCATAGGTTACGATGTAAGGTATTAAAGACTAAATCTGTTCAAAATAGTTAGTTTGTTCACCATGCCAACTTTCCTTGCATAGTGACAAATTTAGAGTAGTCTTCAAAACTTGAACAAAATGTGAGGGAAATGGAAAAGAGCCCTCATGGCACTAACAATGTTTTCAAGACAATAGCGGCTTGATAAATCATAGAACAATGAGTTTGACATTTTTGCTGTGACAAGCTTAGAGTAGTTTTCAAAACTTGAATGAAACGTGGGGGGAACGGAAAAATGCCCTCCTTGAAACCAACAATACTTTAACAACAATAGCGGCTCGAAAAATCACCGAACAATGAATTTAACGTTCTTTGCTGTCCACAAAAAAAAGCGAGAAGATAATTGTCATCACCATGAAATGGAGCCAACAAGTGCGTAAAACAGCAACACGCTTGTCAATCAACCCAATTCCACCACGAATACGCATGGAATTTTTTATAAACAAAAAGTTACTTGTGCGTAGAGATAAGATGTAAGGTATGAAAACACAAATCTGTTCAAAATAGTTAGTTTGTTCACCATGCCAAGTTCCGTTGTGGTGACAAATTTAGTAGTTTTAAAAATTTAAAACAAAAAAGGAGAAAATGCGAAAGCAACTTCATGGCACTAACAATGTTTTCAAAACAATAGCGGCTTGATAAATCACAGAACAATGAAATTAACACTTTAAGCTGTCCTGAGAAAAAGCGAAAATATAATTGTCATCGCAAAAAAATTGAGCCAACAAGTGCGTAACAAGCAGCGCACTTTTTATCAAAAAAGAATTCTTACACTTAAGTGTTAAGTATAAAAAAAACAAATCTATTCAAAATAGTTTGTTCACCATGCCAAGTTTCGTTGCATAATGACAAATTTTAGTAGTTTTCAAAATTTAAATCAAAAGAGGGAAATGTAAAAGAGCCCTCATGGCACTAATAATGTTTGCAGAACAAAAGCGTCTTGATAAACCAGAACAATGAATTTAACATTTTTTGCTGTCCTCAGAAAAAGCGAGACGATATTTGTCATCACAAAAAAAATGAGCCAACAAGTGCGTCAAAAGCAACGCAATTTTTATCACAGAACATTTTTTACAGTTACAAAGTAAAGTATGAAAAACAAATCTGTTCAAAATAGTTTGTTCAGAACAATGAATTTAATATTTTTTGCTGTCCTCAGAAAAAGCGAAAAAAAAAATTGTCATCACCATGGAATGGAGCCAACAAGTGCGTTAAAAAGCAACACACTCGTCAACTCATTCGGTGTTTTTCATCACAGAACAATTACTTTTACAAAATTTCTAGAACTGCTGAACATATTGACAATTGAAAAGGAAACCGTGTTAAACAAATCCAGTGCAAACCATCAAATCAAATAACGTGCCATACTCAAATTTTGAATACATGCTCATCTAAACATGAACTGATTTGGTATCTTCTACTTCTGATTTTGTAGTAGCTGAATTTAAGTGGAAAAAAAACTAAAACGGCCGAATACGAAGTTCCTCCCCATTTTCAATGATCGGAACAAAAACTACGACCTAAATAAGTGTCTTGATTTCAATCATCAATTTCCATATCTGAGGAAATTAAGCTTAGAGATGTTTCTCTCTCAATTTAATTGGTTAGCTCAATTTTAGACCGTCGGAACAATGAGCGTGAGCAATATGTTCTCGAACAACTTTCTACAATTATTTAATCGTAAAGCGTCCGCGAAAATCTTCATAAAACACAACCTTAAAAAAATGATAGAAAACGAACCAATTTGGTTCTCGGAAGATTGATAACTTTCCCAGTAAAGCAGAAAACGCAAAGCTTGAAACCTTTTATGCTGTGACATACTTGAAAAAGGATGTACTCTGCTCCTAGTATTTTTCCATCTGGCCCATAAGAACATGCATTCGCTTCCCATTACCATTAAAATTCGTGCTGCCCACTATTATACATTAGATTTCACTACTCAATTAAAAAAATATGAGCCGCAACACGAAAACAACTAAGAATTTGCTATTTTAAGATACATTAGGGGCAGAAATAATTCATGCATTCGACACTTTAGGTTAATTAAAAACAAGAAAAAGGTGAAGAGGAGCTTCTCAACATCTGCAATTCACGTTCAAATTTAACATAGATGCAAAGCTGCACTTCGCAAACTCAGAGACAAAATGGCAAAAGAGCTTTAAAAACGCAAGAAAATATAAAAATAGGCGTTGAAATTTTATAACAAATTTTCGCTGCATCCAGAATTCGAACCAGAAAAAAAAACAATTAAATTCAAAACCCTTGGTGAATAAAGACAAAATGATTTGGACTAGAGGACGCCTTGCAAATTCTGACAGCCATAAAACGTGAGGTAGTTTTAGTTGAAAACAGAATTTTGTACCATTTTTTTATTTGTACCCCAATTGCTGTGTCGAATACTAAAAAATATAGTGCGCACCTAGAAACGTAAACATAGCTAACAGACAGCTGAAAAATGAAGGCAAGTGAACAGAACAAAATAATGACTTGTTTTTTTTAAAATCTCATCTTTCGAACTTCAAATAAAAACTAGAGCGTTAAATCTCTCAGATTTTCTGGAAAATTTTATGATTGGCATTTTTTTGATAAAACTAACCCAATTTGAGAAAATTGGATCAATGGTAAAATTTTTATATCGCTGATATGGGAAATCTGGTAATTAATTAATTCCATTTTCGAAACTAGAAGTCGATCCCTTCGAGACCTTAACACTTTTGCTGTTCGATAGTGGAGTTTGCCTTCCTTTTAACAAAAAAATGAAGTGAGCTTAAAAATAAATCAACCGTCAAACCGCGAAAATCAAATTTTAGCGTGCACAAATTTTTGAGACTTTTCCTGAAAAAAATAAACTAACAGAAAACTCCTAAGCTAACAAAAAAACTCCCAAAAAACCAAGACCTATATAAAAGTATGACTCTTAAAACACTGGATCAATAGATATTTTTATTCCGCAGGGAAATCGAAAAATTAAAAAACTACATTTTAAACCTAAAATCAATTACCGTTTTTAGTGACATTTGGAATTCAATAATTCGAGAGCGTAACTTGCCTTCCTTTGAGCAAATGATATTTGAATTGAAATTGGAAATCAACTCAAGCCGCAAAAAAAATCAGCTTGGTCGCGAAAAATTTTTGCATTCTTTCTTGCAAAAAGACTTAAATGAACATCTTCACTTCGTTTACTGACAGTTCATAACTTCTGTTAAGAACATCCACAACAGAAAAAAATCATCAAAAACTGGCAACTGCTTATAAGCAAAAAACAAAATTGCATGTCAATGTCTGCTTCTCACAGCAGAGCTAGGGCGACGTTGTCTGACAGACTGAAGAGGAGGGTGAAGAGAGCGGGTCCCACTAGTCCCACTGTTGTCATGGCCCTCCTCACAGAAAGAGTGGTCCAACTGCGCTTCACAATTAAATAGTCTGCATAATGGCCGGCCACTAAAGCACAAAACGACACGAACACTTTATTGCCGGCTCTTTTCCACACATTTTTGATTTTCGCTCGAATTTGATTGATCAGAACGCATTTGAAATAACTTTCGGTCTACTTAACAATCCCCCCTATTGTACCTACTAAAGAATCTACCGCCCCTTCTTGAAAGGGGGGAGATTGTTAAGTAGATCCATATTTTTTTATGTCCTTAATTAAAATGCCTCAAAGTTGAAAACTTTTTGATCAACATTTTTTCATTTTTTACTTTTTTTATACAGTTGGCTTATGGACACTTCTTTGACAACTTTATGTTGCAACTTTACGATGAGGTAGAGAAGCTGGAAAAATTAATTGCAATATTGGTGATCTTGAGCAACTTAATTGGGCAAAAAATCGGTAGATATTGGCTCTTTTTCTTATAAAAATTTGCTGCGGAAGAGGGGGAGGAAGAAAAACACACCAGACGTTAAGTAAGAATTTTTTACTCAGTTGATTTTTTGTTCACTTGCTTCGACATAAAAAGATATTACCAACAATTGGAAATGACCTATACAAATACCCGTATCTTAATAATGATGAATGCTTGTCCATAATTAAAAAGCATTCAGGACAACATATCACTCACTCCGAGCGACCTTTTTGGGATCTTGTTAACTATCCCCCCCCCCCCCCTATAGTACCTTGTAACGATTATCCCCCCTATAAAGAAAAAATTGAACACTTAAGCATACACGAATTTTGTACCTTGTTAACTACCCCCCACCCCCCCCCCCCCATTGCAATAGGGGGGAAATAGTTAACAAGATCCCCTTTCTTTTTGCGCTACCCGTTTAAGCGTGAAAAACACCCGAACAGCAACACCTTCCTATCCTCCTTAGGAAGAATGGCCAGAGCATAAAATGATGCAGAACTAACTGACCGACTCCGAGTATTGAGTTGGCAGCGTATGGGAATGCAGTGAGAGACATCTCGTCCGGTTTGGCCTTGAACACTCTGTCGAGGTAGGTGGGCAGCCACGACATCACAGTGTAATTTGAGCAGTTCATGCACAGGTGGGCGAAGTAGATTGCCAAGAGGGAAGAGTGATTCACGAACTCACTCCAATGCACCGAGGACTGAAAACGAAAAAAAAAACTAGAATACACCAGAACCAAAACTGGATTCAACTCTACACCAGACCACCATTTGGCTCTTTTCCAACACCCCCTCCACCTCTTCGATTGGGTTGAAACCGTACTCTAAGGACACCATTCGACCGGCTTGACCGTCTTTTTGATGTTGTCTCGATATATTTATAACAGCTGTTTGCTAAGATTTACAAATACACTAAAACGATTTCATTATGATTTTCTTTATTATATTATTTCAAAACAATTTATGACAATACTTCAAAAGCTAGTTCGCAAAAATGGATGAAGGCGATTATAAGTCAGGATACAAACCACATATTATTCCACGAACCACTCAGGCGTCATTTGTGATACAAAGACATTGAACAACACTAAAAAATTCCAATTGACTAATTCCTTACTGTAATTTTCAAAAATGCATTAGAATACCTGAACAAAACAAATCATAACATAGTTAGACAGCCTGTTTTGCGGTGCCCATGGTACGTTTTGCATTGAACATGGTATGTTATACAATATCGATGGCATGTTTTACAAAGCCTTCAATGTCTGTACAAAGCCTGCAATGTCTGCAAAGTATGTTTTGCAATGTCCATGTTGCATGTTTTCCAATATCCATGGTATGTTTTGCAATATCCATGGTATGTTTTCCAATAATCATTTATGTTTTGCAAGGTGCATGGTAAGTTTTGCGATGTGCATGATATGTTTTGCATTGTCGATGATATGTTTTCCAATATCCATGGTATGTTTATGCAATGTCCATGGTGTATTTTTTCCCAAATCCATGGTATGTTTTCGAATATCCATGGTACGTTTTCCAAAACCCATGTTATGATTTTCAATGTGCACGTAATGTTTTGCAACGTCCATGGTATGTTTTGCAGTCCATGGTGTATGTTTTGCAATGTGCATAGTACGCTTTGCACTATCCATGGCATGTTTTGCATTATCCACGGTATGTTTTGCAATATCCAAGTTATGTTTTCCAATATCCATATTATGTTTTGCAAAAAGCATAGAATGTTTTCCAATATCCATGGTATGTTTTCCAATATTCATGGTACGTTTTGCAATATCCATGGTCTGATTCGCAATATGCATGGTACATTTTCCAATACCCATGTTATGTTTCGCAAAAAGCATGGAATGTTTTCCAATATCCATGGTATGTTTTCCAATATTCATGGTACGTTTGCAATATCCATGGTCTGATTCGGAATATGCATGGTACATTTTCCAATACCCATGTTATGTTTTGCAATGTGCATGGTATGTTTTGCGATGTCCATGGTAAGTTTTGCAATGGCTATGGTATGTTTTCCAATAACCATGGTATGTTTTTCCAATGTCCATGGTGTGTTTTGCACTCACCACGGTATGTTTTACAAAATCGATGGTACATTTTCCAATATCCAAGGTATAATTTACTATGCCAATGGTGTATGTTTTCCGAAATCCATGGTATATTTTTCGATATCCATGATATGTTTTCCAATATCCATGTTATGTTTTCCAATATCCATGTTATTTTTTGCAAAGTGCATGGGATGTTTGCATTGTCAATGGTACGTTTTCCAATATTCATGGTATGTTTTTCCAAATTCCAAGGTATGTTTTGTACATTTCCAATATCCATGGTTTAATTTACTATGTAAATGGTGTATGTTTTCCGAAACCCATGGTGTATTTTCAAATATCCATGGTATGTTTTCCAATATCCATGTTAAGTTTTGCAATGTGCATGGCATATTTTGCGATGTCCATGTTATGTTTGCATAATCTATGGTATGTTTTCCATTATCCATGGTATGTTTTTGCAATTTCCATGGTATGTTTAGCATTATCCATTGTATGTTTTGCAAAATCCATGGTATGTTTTGCAAAATCCATGTACGTTTTCCAATATCTATGGTATAATTTGCAATGTGCATGGTATGTTTTGCAAAGTGCATGGTATTTTTTGCAATGTGCAAAGCTTGTTCTGCTTTAACCATAATATGTTTTCCACACAGAAGCGAAGCTCCGCTTCGCAAAAACTTGCAAGAACACGCCCAAAAAGCAGTTCTATCGAAAGAAATAAGAGAAAAAAGAAACAAGCCTCGAAATAGCAAAAACGGGCCTTAGCAAAGACTTGAATTAGCACAAATCTGCGACCTGAGTCTCACGCACTAGCCATTCAGCCAAGGATGCTCAAATTCCCCTAAAACTAGCCACCAATAACGCAGCTATATTTGCTATTAAATTGCCAATTCGATGCAGCAAAAGTAGCACCAAATACAAAAAGATACAATTTTGCATGTAATAAATTGCATATCAATAAGCCACATTATGTATAATTTATTATAAGATTACGTATAAGATATATTAAGTTAGAAAATTTCTGAAATCGAGATTTTATTGTTGTTCTTGTTTGAAACAAATAGCTTTTTTGGTTCACGAAGCACATGTTATCAATAAGCTGTAAAGGTGCAACAAATAAGCTGCCATGCCAATTCGATGCAGCAAATATTGTTGCTTTAATTCGCAACAATATTTGCGACTAATTCGCAACAATATTAGCGACTAAATCCCAACAATATTAGCGACTAAACCGCAACAATATTTGCGACTCAGTCGCAACAAAATTTGCAACTTAGGTTGGAAAAAAAAGAAAGTTCGTACTTAAAACACTTTGCTTCGCAGGTGTAGATATCCATGGTATTATTTGCAATGCGCAAGCTATGTTCTGCAAGGTCAAAGTGTGTTTTGCGCACAGAGGCGAAGCTGTGCTTCGCAAACACTAGCGAGAGCACGACAAAAATCAGCTCTATAAGTGTAAAAAAAAAGAAATGATCCTCGAATTAGTAAAAATTCGGTTTCATTTCAGATTCGATCTCCGACCTAAGGCGACCTAGATAATATGATTCTCACGCAATAAACCACTCAGCCACCGACGCTTAATTATTCGAAAACTCTTGCGCGAATAAAGCAGAAAAAAGATGCAATGAAATTTCCAATGCTACAGATCGTGATTATAGCAAAAATTCCACCAAATAATGAACACTTTGCAACCAAATAATGAACACTTTTATTTGCGAGTTAGGTTAGAAAAAAAGAAAGTTCGTTCTAATACACTAACGCTCGCAAGCTCGCACTTGTAAATATCCATATGTTTTCCAATGCCCATGGTATAAGAAAAGGTATAACGCCTCAAAATGTTTACCTTTGGAGCAACATAAGAGTATTCGGGTAGTTTGTGTGTTGCGCTGTTGCATCTACTGATGAAGAGAAGCCATAGGAGACCCCACAGGAACCCCAGTCCCCCGAATGAGATAAAACTGGCCTGCCATACCATTTGGGGACACACCTGTTAAAAATACTTGAGAAAAGTAATAAACCGACGAGCTGCGTAGAAAAACAGAACCGACAGCTGCGTCGAAAAAACCCAACGAAATGTATACACTATTGGTATTTTATTTTCAAAGAGGAATTGCAGCTAAAATCCTTGCGCATGGACATTGGTCGGAATGTTTGATATGTTTCTTGGAATGAAAAATTCATAGACAGCCTCTTTTGGAAGTGAACGAGAAACTTACCACAGATGCGACCACTTGACCCACAGAGCCCCCTGAGACCAAATATGAGAAGGCTTTGGCTCGTTCCTCTTTGTGTACATTCTCCGAAAAGATCTGGAAGATTGCCGGAAGAGCCAGACCTTCGGCCAGTCCTGCAATAGTTGCAAGATAATTTTGTTTTACAGATACTTCGAAGCTCATTTCTGAAGAAGTTAGTCTATTAGAGAACGGTTAAAGAAAAACTGAGTTTCCAGATTTTATTTAAAAAAGGGCTATCTAAGTTTTGAAATAAATCCGAGAAAGAAGAGCATTAACCAGTTGAATCTACCCTCCTCTCAGATAAGAACTTTAAAAACGCATCTCTTGATTTGTAAACAGGTAATCCAACTCACCTAACCCCACCCGGGTGATAATCATGACGACGTCAAAATGTGCAAAGAAAGGAGTAAGGAAGGTTGCCAATGACCACACAAATACTGCAAAGGTCAGCACCCTTTTTCCTCCAAGGCGTATTGAAAGACTGCCGCCCAAGACCTTAAACAAATTTTATTATTTTTCAAAATAAACAATTTAACTGAACAAGAAAAATGTACGAATGATTGTTAAAATGTATAAAATTTTCTTTGGTGTTTTATTTTTTGTCACGCAAAATCAGGTACCATAAATAGTTATTGAAATAGGACAAACAATATATTATTTTAAAGCTCTTATAAAATCGAAATTCGAATGACAAAAAAGTTCCAAAAAAACTTTGCACTACTGAGAAAAACCGGTTTGAACTGATTGATTTATTCCGCAAACATTAAGTTTTACTCCAATGAAAATAGTTTTGGAAGATTTTTAGCTCCGTGTTCGGAATTAATTTAAAAATCATTTTTTCTTCAAATTTATGTTAAAAAAAAGTTGTGGAACATGGTTAATTTATCAAAAAAGAAAAAAAACGATGAATACTTTTTAAAAACTAAGTATAGTGTTCTTTAATACAGTGAAGTGTATTAAAAATTAATTCTAAATTTCAGATTTTTTGCTTAAAAAAAGCGAGCAAGTTGAAGAATAAAATCAATGAACTCCGATGAAAGTACTGATGCAATAGAACGATCAAACTAAGACTAAATGTATTTAAAAAAAAACAGTGCATACATTTGAAAATTTAAGTTTTAATAACCTCGGCAAAACTAATCGTAAGATATACAGACATACTTATGAAAACGGAATTCAAGCCACGGATTTGCATACGTACATTTTGGATTAGATTACAATTCACTAGAGTGCTACTCTTTTTTAAAATTTAGAATTTTAGAATTAGCAAAAATCTGCGACCTGAGTCTCACGCACTAGCCATTCAGCCACGGATGCTCATATTCCCCTAAAACTAGCAACCAATAACGCAGCTATATTTGCTAATAAATTGCCAATTCGATGCAGCAAAAGTAGCACCAAATGCAAAAAGATACAATTTTGCATGTAATAAATTGCATATCAATAAGCCACATTATGTATAATTTATTATAAGATTACGTGTAAGATATATTAAGTTAGAAAAATTCTGAAATCGAGATTTTATTATTGTTGTTAATTGAAACAAATAGCTTTTTTTGTTCACAAAGCACATGTTATCAATAAGCTGTAAAGGTGCAACAAATAAGCTGCCATGCCAATTCGATGCAGCAAATATTGTTGCTTTAATTCACAACAATATTTGCGACTAATTCGCAACAATATTAGCGACTAAATCCCAACAATATTAGCGACTAAACCGCAACAATATTTGCGACTAAGTCCATGGTATGTTTTCCAATATCCATGTTAAGTTTTGCAATGTGCATGGCATATTTTGCGATGTCCATGTTATGTTTGCATAATCTATGGTATGTTTTCCATTATCCATGGTATGTTTTTGCAATTTCCATGGTATGTTTAGCATTATCCATTGTATGTTTTGCAAAATCCATGGTATGTTTTGCAAAATCCATGTACGTTTTCCAATATCTATGGTATAATTTGCAATGGGCATGGTATGTTTTGCAAAGTGCATGGTATTTTTTGCAATGTGCAAAGCTTGTTCTGCTTTAACCATAATATGTTTTCCACACAAAAGCGAAGCTCCGCTTCGCAAAAACTTGCAAGAACACGCCCAAAAAGCAGCTCTATCGAAAGAAATAAGAGAAAAAAGAAACAAGCCTCGAAATAGCAAAAACGGGCCTTAGCAAAGACTTGAATTAGCAAAAATCTGCGACCTGAGTCTCACGCACTAGCCATTCAGCCACGGATGCTCAAATTCCCCTAAAACTAGCCACCAATAACGCAGCTATATTTGCTAATAAATTGCCAATTCGATGCAGCAAAAGTAGCACCAAATACAAAAAGATACAATTTTGCATGTAATAAATTGCATATCAATAAGCCACATTATGTATAATTTATTATAAGATTACGTATAAGATATATTAAGTTAGAAAATTTCTGAAATCGAGATTTTATTGTTGTTCTTGTTTGAAACAAATAGCTTTTTTGGTTCACGAAGCACATGTTATCAATAAGCTGTAAAGGTGCAACAAATAAGCTGCCATGCCAATTCGATGCAGCAAATATTGTTGCTTTAATTCGCAACAATATTTGCGACTAATTCGCAACAATATTAGCGACTAAATCCCAACAATATTAGCGACTAAACCGCAACAATATTTGCGACTAAGTCGCAACAAAATTTGCAACTTAGGTTGGAAAAAAAAGAAAGTTCGTACTTAAAACACTTTGCTTCGCAGGTGTAGATATCCATGGGATTATTTGCAATGCGCAAGCTATGTTCTGCAAGGTCAAAGTGTGTTTTGCGCACAGAGGCGAAGCTGTGCTTCGCAAACACTAGCGAGAGCACGACAAAAATCAGCTCTATAAGTGTAAAAAAAAAGAAATGATCCTCGAATTAGTAAAAATTCGGTTTCATTTCAGATTCGATCTCCGACCTAAGGCGACCTAGATAATATGATTCTCACGCAATAAACCACTCAGCCACCGACGCTTAATTATTCGAAAACTCTTGCGCGAATAAAGCAGAAAAAAGATGCAATGAAATTTCCAATGCTACAGATCGTGATTATAGCAAAAATTCCACCAAATAATGAACACTTTGCAACCAAATAATGAACACTTTTATTTGCGAGTTAGGTTAGAAAAAAAGAAAGTTCGTTCTAATACACTAACGCTCGCAAGCTCGCACTTGTAAATATCCATGATATGTTTTCCAATGCCCATGGTATAAGAAAAGGTATAACGCCTCAAAATGTTTACCTTTGGAGCAACATAAGAGTATTCGGGTAGTTTGTGTGTTGCGCTGTTGCATCTACTGATGAAGAGAAGCCATAGGAGACCCCACAGGAACCCCAGTCCCCCGAATGAGATAAAACTGGCCTGCCATACCATTTGGGGACACACCTGTTAAAAATACTTGAGAAAAGTAATAAACCGACGAGCTGCGTAGAAAAACAGAACCGACAGCTGCGTCGAAAAAACCCAACGAAATGTATACACTATTGGTATTTTATTTGCAAAGAGGAATTGCAGCTAAAATCCTTGCGCATGGACATTGGTCGGAATGTTTGATATGTTTCTTGGAATGAAAAATTCATAGACAGCCTCTTTTGGAAGTGAACGAGAAACTTACCACAGATGCGACCACTTGACCCACAGAGCCCCCTGAGACCAAATATGAGAAGGCTTTGGCTCGTTCCTCTTTGTGTACATTCTCCGAAAAGATCTGGAAGATTGCCGGAAGAGCCAGACCTTCGGCCAGTCCTGCAATAGTTGCAAGATAATTTTGTTTTACAGATACTTCGAAGCTCATTTCTGAAGAAGTTAGTCTATTAGAGAACGGTTAAAGAAAAACTGAGTTTCCAGATTTTATTTAAAAAAGGGCTATCTAAGTTTTGAAATAAATCCGAGAAAGAAGAGCATTAACCAGTTGAATCTACCCTCCTCTCAGATAAGAACTTTAAAAACGCATCTCTTGATTTGTAAACAGGTAATCCAACTCACCTAACCCCACCCGGGTGATAATCATGACGACGTCAAAATGTGCAAAGAAAGGAGTAAGGAAGGTTGCCAATGACCACACAAATACTGCAAAGGTCAGCACCCTTTTTCCTCCAAGGCGTATTGAAAGACTGCCGCCCAAGACCTTAAACAAATTTTATTATTTTTCAAAATAAACAATTTAACTGAACATGAAAAATGTACGAATAATTGTTAAAATGTATAAAATTTTCTTTGGTGTTTTATTTTTTGTCACGCAAAATCAGGTACCACAAATAGTTATTGAAATAGGACAAACAATATATTATTTTAAAGCTCTTATAAAATCGTAATTCGAACGACAAAAAAGTTCCAAAAAAACTTTGCACTACTGAGAAAAACCGGTTTGAACTGATTGATTTATGCCGCAAACATTTAGTTTTACTCCAATGAAAATAGTTTTGGAAGGTTTTTAGCTCCGTGTTCGGAATTAATTTTAAAATCATTTTTTCTTCAAATTTATGTTTAAAAAAAGTTGTGGAACATGGTTAATTTATCAAAAAAGAAAAAAAACGATAATCTATTATATATTTAAATGCGGGCTTCACTATCTCGCCATGTTTAAGCTTTTTCAACGTATTATTTTTGCATGTTTAAGCTATATCGTATATTGCAATGGTTAAGATTTTTTTTTCGATTTTCCAATTTGATTTTAGTAGTTGATTTACCGAGTTTAAATTAAGCAGCCCAATATCGAATTAGGGGTTGCGAATTTGGCCTCCAATTTTGAATGCCCGAATCATTTTAGTTAACGAGATAAGACGATTTTTGAGATTTTTTCAAAAATTTTCAGAAATTTCAAATAACAAAATAATTTACAAAACTTGAAGTCCCTAACCCTGCAGTTGGGTGCTGTCGGAGTACTCTAAGGAGTTACAAATCTTGCCTCCAAATATGACTGTTCAAATCCTAGTAGTTTTCGAGATATGACGTTTTTTGTGATTTTTTCAAAATTTTTCAGAAAACTTAAATTATTATTGGTTTTTAAAAATCTGAAATTCCCAACCCTGTAGTTAGGTCCTGTCGGACGGAGTACTCTCAAAGATTGCGGATCTCTTCTCCAAATATGACTGCTCAATTCTTTGTAGTTTTCGAGATATGACGTTTTTTGTGATTTTTTCAAAATTTTTCAGAAAACTTAAATTATTATTGGTTTTTAAAAATCTGAAATTCCCAACCCTGTAGTTAGGTCCTGTCGGAGTACTCTCAAAGATTGCGAATCTTGCCTCCAAGTATGACTGCTCAACTCTTTGTAGTTTTCGAGATATGACGTTTTTTGTGATTTTTTCAAAAAATTTTCAGAAAACTTATATTAATTTTTTTCCGCAAAATCTGAAATTCTCAACCCTGTAGCTGGGTCCTGTCAGAGTAATCTCAAAGATTGCGGATCTCTTCTCCAAATATGACTGCTCAATTCTTTGTTGTTTTCGAGATATGACGTTTTTTGTGATTTTTTCAAAAAAAAATTTTTTCAGAAAACTTAAATTATTGGGTTTTAAAAATCTGAAATTCCCAACCCTGTAGTTAGGTCCTGTCGGAGATCTCTCAAAGATTGCGAATCTTGCCTCCAAGTATGACTGCTCAACTCTTTGAAGTTTTCGAGATATGACGTTTTTTGTGATTTTTTCAAAAAAATTTCAGAAAACCTATGTTAATTTTTTTCGCAAAATCTGAAATTCCCAACCCTGTAGCTTGATCCTGTCAGAGTAATCTCAAAGATTGCGGACCTTGCCTCCAAATATGACTGCTCAATTCTTTGTAGTTTTCGAGATATGACGTTTTTTGTGATTTTTTCATAATTTTTCAGAAAACTTAACCTATTATTAGTTTTTAAAAATCTGAAATTCCCAACCCTGTAGTTAGGTCCTTTCGGAGTACTCTCAAAGATTGCGAATCTTGCCTCCAAATATGACTGCTCAATTCTTTGTAGTTTTCGAGATATGACGTTTTTTGCGATTTTTTCAAAAATTTTCAGAAAACTTGAATTATTTTTTTCTTTTAAATTCTGAAATTCCCAACCCTGTAGTAAGGTCCTGTCAGAGTACTCTCAAGGATTGCGAATCTTGCCTCCAAATATGACTGCTCAATTCTTTGTAGTTTTCAAGATGTGACGTTTTTTGGGATTTTTTCTAAATTTTCAGAAAACTTATCAACTTTTTTTCGCAAAATCTGAAATTCCCAACCCTGTAGCTGGGTCCTGTCAGAGTAATCTCAAAGATTGCGGATCTTGCCTCCAAATATTAATTATTTTTCAAAATTTGAGATTCCCAACTCTATAGTTAGGTGTTGTCAGGGTACTCTAAAGAGTTGCAAATCTTGCCACATGCGACTGCTAAACGCGACTGCTCAAATGCTTTTCGTTTCCGAGATGTGACGTTTTTCGATTTTTTCAAAATTTCTCAAAGAACTTATCTACAAAGAAATTCTAAAAATTCTAATTCTACTAATTAGAAAATTTGAAACTACTAACTTGATGAAGATACAACCGTATTGTCAGCGTACACCCAGGCGTCTCAATTCTTGCCTCTTAATATGAATGCTCAAATCCTTTTAGTTTCCGAGATACGACGTTTTTTTTCAATTTTTTTTTTCGGGAATCTTAGGTTTAAAAAAATTCACAAAATTTTGGATTCCTAACCCTATAGTAGGGTGCTCTCAGGGACTCTCAGTGGTTGCAAATCTGGCTTCCAAATTTCTCCAGAGGCCCATTAAGTTTTCGAGGTGACGCTTGTATGTTTTAAATAATGGGAATATAAAAAAATTTAAAAGTTCGAAATTACCAACCCTGTAATTGGGTGCAGTCAGAGTACACTAAAAGTTTGCAGATGTTGTTTCCAATATATGCGGTTTTTCATGAGTTGTCGAAAAATTTCGAAGCACCGAAGGTGCGTTAATTGCTAGTTACTTTTTAAAAACTAAGTATAGTGTTCTTTAATACAGTGAAGTGTATTAAAAATTAATTCTAAATTTCAGATTTTTTGCTTAAAAAAAGCGAGCAAGTTGAAGAATAAAATCAATGAACTCCGATGAAAGTACTGATGCAATAGAACGATCAAACTAAGACTAAATATATGTAAAAAAAACAGTGCATACATTTGAAAATTTAAGTTTTAATAACCTCGGCAAAACTAATCGTAAGATATACAGACATACTTATGAAAACGGAATTCAAGCCACGGATTTGCATACGTACATTTTGGATTAGATTACAATTCACTAGAGTGCTACTCTTTTTTAAAAAATTGAACGATGCAGTGGTGCTGTCAATTTCGTCGAAATGTAATAATACGGGCAATGACATCCATTTTTTTTTACGTGAGTTGAAATCGTGATTTTTGTAGAGAAGCAGTCGAACAGTGATATCAAATACTATTTCTTTTGTACGAGTGTTATTTTTATACACAACTGTCGGTAACTTCAATGCAATTGCATTAGCTTTCCATTTATTAAAAACCATTGATATAGAGATTACACACAATTAAGTTCAATTCCAATCAAAGACTTGTTTCCACGAAGTGCAGCGGAGGAATTGAAATTGTATAAGAAAAACATGTGTTTTCAGGCTCAGTTCAACTGCTTCTCAAGGGACACCATGGACGTAACACAATTGATCATTGATAATAAGACTGTCTGATTCGGCATTCTCTTCATCATTTTGTCGACGAAAGATAAAAATACGAATTCGACGCATTTAAACTCAACTGATTCTCAGCAAAAAAGGAAGCAAGCTCGTGTAGAGAATTTTTTTATCGGCTCAGAGGGTCAATCGACGATATAGATCACGCATATGACATACAATTGTCTGAATATTGGTCTTACATTCATCGTAAAATTTTTAATAAAATCACTTGCTAAAATTAAACACCAATAGACATATTGACGTACCTTGCGGAGCGCCTCTTCGAACTTCGATCCAGTAACAAAAAAACGACCGCGGAATTTGATGAAACAATCACACTCGACGCGCGCTTCTCCAGTGAGCAAGTTGACCGAAGAACGAGTTCTTGAAATAAAAACGAACCCAATTTTATGGCTCCACTGCTGAGAGTTCAGAGATCAATGAGAAACCCGAAGATGATGAAATTGAATGCAGGACTTTTCTTTGCCGGGAATGAATGTTATATATTTGTTACATGATAATGCTGATTTCAGATTTTGTTGAATAAAAGCTAAATAAAGAAGTGGTGTTCCATCCAACACAGGTTTTTTAGCATAAAAAGTTAAAATTTAGGACTTTGTTGTGACAGCTTCGTGGAAGCAGCAAAAATTGACGCATAACTGATTGACAGAAGTAAAATGGCGCGTAATCTGGGGTTGAGCTTCCCTAATTTAAACAATTATCTAACGGTTTGTCAACAAAGATCTAAGGAAAACAAACTAGTTTAACGGCAAACACTGATTCGCGCGCAGTATGGCTCTCGTGTCGGATATGAGCGCAGCGAAGCAAACGTATTCTACTTGACAATGACGCGTTTGAAACTAACGTTCTGACTGTTTAATTGTTTTTAACTCTGCTAGAAAACCGGTCTCTGAGAAAACCTAGCCCCCTTTTCAAGGCTACATACACAGCCACCGGCTATCTTTGTTATAATTAGACTTTTTATTGTTCTGTTTTTTTTCTGTTCAATAGCATATTTGTGATAACTTTTGTTGTGAAATAAAAAATTCAACCTGAGAACTAATATATCCAAATCCGAAGCCACTAAGAACCCAACCCTGAAAGCCTAGGTTCCAGTCGTATTGTTTTGACATCTGGACCATGCATATCGGCAAAAGAACTCTATCGGCTGTGTTGATGAAATTAGCAACAGCACAGAACGCAATCAAAATTTTAACTTCTTTCGAAACTGTCGTCATTCCGTTTTAGATGGACCGTTTCACATTTAAAACCTGAAAACCGCTAACGAATAATTAAATAGACGGCTAAAAACGGGTACACCAGAAACAATATCGTTTCAGGCCATGCATGTAAATTCTGGTCCTATCAGCTCTATAACATTTGCCCAAATACTACACAGCGACGGAGCGAAGAAAAAGTACCTATTAACGACTGGCAGGCGTCAGTTAACTTAATTCTACTCGTTTTTCACCGTCTCGACCTTGCCAGTTGATTTTCTGGTCTGTTTAGGGCTAAGTAAAAAGTTACTATTTTTAGGCCATCAGTCAAACGACTTTTGATCAGCTTTCGTTTACATGCGAACACAACCACATAGCTGAGTCTCGGATCCTCAGACTACGTGACTGCTATTAAAAACACGGCTCGAATACCCTATTTTAACATGTTTTTGGTGACAACTCTATATTAAATCCATTGGAGACGGATTGACCCTTTCCTCTTCCTAGCTACTCATATTCTAAAATATCAGATAATACCGGTGTCAATTCAAAGTTCTATGGCATCAGAGTAGCTAAAAAGTTAACACAGTCTTTCACCATATAACAGTCTCTAGGGGACCAAGCCTCCGCTTCCGTGTTCTCCTCAAGATAACGTTGTTATCACTCCAAATTCGTGGCACGTGAGGGTACTGCTTTCCACCACCGAAGCCTCTTTTCCCACAATCTTCTCTCACTAAGGGTCTTATCGTGCGTGAATGTCACGATAAGAGGCTTCGTATTTTTCTCGTTCTCGTGTGACTGTTGTTCACTAGATTTGCGGTTGTTCTGTTTTCTCGTTCTTATTAGTCAAAATGGCCGTCTTTTTGTGTTTCTGAGAAATATTCACTCTTCGATCGAAATTTTAAAAATAAAAATTCTAGAATATTCCTACCCTCCTTCGCAGCACTTTTTCGTTACTAAGGCCTTTAGTTGTTTTTTCTGTCCCGGCGGAAGGTTGCGCTGTGCCAATCTGTCAGAATGGCACATACTCCCCGGACAGTCCCCATCAATGTCCCTATTGGTCGCATAACACCGGGTTATCGTCAAGTAGTGTTCCAGTTCTCTATAATCAATCTTACAAATCGCATAAGAAAATGAAATTTATATACCAGTCGGTCATATCTGGAAGTTTGACCTTGAGGGACACGAATATACGTGATTTTGGAGTGAAGTTTTATTTTTCAAAATTTCGAATGGAGCCTGTCATGCTCAGTATTCTCGCAACAACTGAAAACACAAAGTGAAAAATCAGAACGACCGAATTTACAATAGCGGGAAAGTACTTAAGAAAACAGCAGGAAATTGCTATTCGCAATTTCCAGATACAAAACAAGACACGAGTAGAGCCGTCTTATCCTGAAATAGGAGACGAGATAATCGCGAGAGAAGAGTACAATTATTCGAACTGAACTAGAGTGAACCTTCAACGGGAAGGTGGACAGCTGGAGTGTCCCAATGGTTCAGAATAAAACTGCAATTCTAGAGTCAAAACTTATTTCCTTTATTAAAACTGATTAGTATTGAACTACTCAAGTTATTTTATTTAATTCTCGAGTTGCTCATCAATTTAATTACTCCCTATTCTCGAGTGTGTCGACATGTGAGTTCCAAATTTAGTTTTCTCGAGTGTGTTTTATGATTGTTATGTTGAGATAAGGCGAGTTTTAGGTTGATCCATCTGAAATGGATAAAAGTTCCACTGTCTAATAAAAAGTAACTTTACGGATTGTTCCAACCCTGTTTTTAACGGCGTTTGCGTATTTTGGGTATTCTTAGACCTGAGTATTGTGACGTGCTTATTTTCTAGAGTGTGGAAGGGGGGGTAATTTGGTAGCGGCGCTTAAGCTGTAACGGGTTTTTAGTCTCATGTCGCAAGCAAACCGAATTGGCTCCGACCGTTAGAGGTAGAAAAACACACGAGATAGTGTCCATGACTCTTGAGCCAATGGTTATAGGGCCTATTTTTCTTAAGCCTCATATGTGACCGAAGTAGGCGACTGTTACATAGTGTTTTTATGGCGCTCCTGGATGTTTTTACGACATCATGACTACGGAGTCGAACCCACTTGACACAGCTCCGGGCTGCATGCCCATTCTAGAGTACCGGTGGTACGGTTCAGCGGGAACGTGTAAACCTTCCGGTTGTACCGTGATAGGTTTTTAAGAAAACTTGAGAAAACTTCCTGGTACGCTCTCCGAACGAGGCCTAGCTAACCGAGTAAGGGGGGGGGGGGTAACTAGGGGGACAAAAACACGAGCAAAAAGACAAAAAGCGAAACAAAAACAAGAAAAAAGTATAGAAAAAGGAACAAAAACCATAAAAAAAAGACAGTGACTTTGATACCAGATCAGTTGGATCAAACCTTTATATTAATTAAATAGTATACCCATACTGTTTTATAAGACCGATCGTTTCGATCAATCTAGCAATCTAAACCAGTGACTTCAATAAGGTGCCCGAGTGGGGGGCGTTGTTGAGGGTTTTCAGATAGCTTGCAACCTAGCCGGACCACAAGGAGACTTGACTGGAAAAGGTGGCCAGCCGAGTGGGAAAGTGGTTCACAAGGACTGAACCGGACCACTAGGAGACTTGACTGGAAGAGGGGACCAGCCAAGTGGGAAGGTGGTGCTGGTGTCAAGTGCAATGCACGTTCTAGAGTACGGACAACCAGCACGGGATCACTACAACAAGAAGAGGACGCACAGGGGTGTTCTCAAGTTGGGCAAACGGGTATCGTTAAAATCCACATTACATTACAGGAGATAAGTGTAAAATTGGATAAGCGGAGCCCCATTGTTTTGAGGAAGTTTTTACACAAGCAGGCCTGGAAACAGGTCTACGGTTTTCTCTCGAGAGGTTTAGCACCCGGCGCTTGAGGGATTTTTCGGCTTAAGAGGGGGGCTAAAAAGGGGGGAGGTTAGAAGGGGGGCTGGTTAGGTTAGAGGTTAGCGGTTGTAAATTGTAAAAAGGGGGGACACGTTAGAGTAACTAATTGTTCGGCATCGTCGATTGAGTTACATTAGATACTTACACGCGTTGGTTATAAGAAGCGGATATCCAAATTTAACATCGAGTTAAAGTAGGTACCCTGGTCGGATCAGTAGGGGGGAACGGACATAGACAGTTTTTGTGATACCCCATAAGATCGCTAGCAGGGGGAGGAAAACGCGTGGCAATCGGGTACCAGACATTTTTTTGGACAAAGATTGACATCAGTCAACCTTAGATTTTAGGTGGGTTCATCTCAGTTTTGAAAATTTTTCCTGTTTAAATTTTTACGTTTTGGTGAATATTTGTTGTTGGTATACGAACGAACAGGTGATCACAAGATACCTGCGAGGAATTTAGGGTTTCAAATAGCCTGAAACAACGAGAGGGAGATAAATACAGGGGGTCAGTATTTGGGTTTTGGCCATTAAGATAGGGATTTTGGGAAAATTTTTACTAGAGCTCAAGTGGTAATAAACGGTACAGTGGTTCAAGATCCCCCCAACGAAGAAGAAGAGATCCTACATCCAGACACTCAGTGACAAGTCTTGGGACATTACCGAAGAAGTCTTGGGACATTGCAGTCTGGGGACAGTCTTGGAGCAACACGGTCTTGGGACAGTCTCGGGACAGAGCAGTCTTGGGACAGTCTTGGGACGGTGCAGTCTTGGGACAGTCTTGGACCAGAGCAGTCTTGGTACGAAACAGTCTTGGGACACTATTCTTCGGACAGTAGTCTTGAAACAGTAGTCTTGGGACAGTGGTCTTGGGACAGTGGTCTTGGGACAGTGGTCTTGGGACAGTAGTCTTGGGACACTAGTCTTGGGACAGTGGTCTTGGGACAGTGGTCTTGGGACAGTAGTCTTGGGACACTAATCTTGGGACAGTGGTCTTGGGACAGTAGTCTTGGGACACTAGTCTTGGGACAGTAGTCTTGGGACAGTAGTCTTGGGACACTAGTCTTGGGACAGTAGTCTTGGGACACTAGTCTTGGGACAGTAGTCTTGGGAGAGTGGTATTGGGACACTAGTCTTGGGACAGTAGTCTTAGGGCAGGGGTCTTGGGACAGTAGCCTTGGGACACTAACAAGAAGTACTGGGACAACACTGAATAGTCTTGGGACAGTAGAGAGGAAGTCTTGGAACAGTATAAAGAAGGGGGGTGACGGTACTAAAAGAGTACTAAGACTGGTTGAAGTAACCAAACGCAAAATCAAATTTTCTATCCAATCCTAAAGATCCGGTACTGTAGGGATCAAGAACATATAGAATTTTCATAAAGCTCAGGAAACGTTGTTTTTAGCAAATTGTAAATTTCTTTTTATAAAATTTTGTCAAAAGAGGTTTTAACCTTAGAGTAGAATTTTGTAGATAGTAATACTGTAAATAGGAACAATTGTAAATAAAAACAATGAGGCGGAGCAGGGTACCGGTGGCTGAAAAAAGATCTACCGAAGCGAAGACAAAGTATAACTCGTCGCTAAGTAAAACGACATCAATGGGTCCAAAGGTAACAGAGAAGAACTTTTCAGTTAGCATGGTCAACACGAGGAGTAATACAGAGAACAGAGCAAAAGAGGGCACGGAAGGGAAACAAGGAGAACCCACCATCGAGATTGAACTAGAGACACCGGATCAAAGTGTGGATGAAGTGGGAAAGAAAACGACAGAGTCAACTCCGATGCCCAATGCGGAAGAACCTAATCCGAAACCCATGGAGTTCTCACCGATAGACAACGTGGAAGACACAACAGGCAACACGCCAGAAACGGT